ACAAAGTAGGTTGCTTGGATGATTTCGGAACCAAGATGAACACAGTTTAATTTTAAAAATTTACATTAACAATTCTACCATCAAGCAAAATAACTAACAGACAATTATGAACTAATATTTAATTAAAATATAATTAACAGCTAAATTATGATGCATTGAATTAAATTGAAGAATATTCATACATACACATATTTTTTTATTAAAGTATTAGATGACTGATAATAAAAATAAAGTAATGTAAACCATACTGGCAATAAACTCTTATCAAACAAAGAGTAATAACCAATAATAGCAGATAGAATTGTGGAATGCAACTAGTAAATAAGCACAACAGGAAAACATAAATCTACTTTTACCTCATATCCATACTATTTTTTTTATTTTTTCCAGTCCAGATACTTGTCTCCTTATATGGCAATACCTATTAGAAGCATGGAACGACCTAATAACCTAGATCACTTCTGAAATCACGAACTATTTCAATAATTAATCAAGAAATAACCGGCGAGATGCTATGTACAAAAAAAAAAATACATGGAAAATTAAATTAATTTAAATTAAAATGAATTAAATTAATAAAGAAATATGCCAAAAAATATAGTCTACCTCGACTCACATCCATAAAGTACTGTGATAGTTGAAAATATATCACACAACAGCACTTATTTCAAATCAATCCATAATAACCTGTTCAGTAACGTGAGCACCTACACCCTCCCAATTCATGCCGAATTATGGCGGCCATATTGCTTTTCGCTCAATTTCTCTGGCTTTAAAAGAGGATCCGGATTGGTCGGATTCACCAGCATCTTTTGTAAATAAACAAAAAAATTAAAATCTTAACCCGGATCTTTTTCACTTTGTTAATGAAATTTGAATTGAATATTGTTAGTTATTAAATTATTGCCATTTCTTCATTAACTGCTCCTTTTCTTTGCTTATTTCATAATTTCGTGACGTGCTCCGACGTTTCAGTTAGCTACTACCTAATTAGCGCTTGTTAGACCATAATTCTACTAAACATAAATATACGGCTAGAGTTAAATATAAAATATTCTTGTCTTTTCAAATATTCATCAGTCTTTCAAAGCTGTTTAATTAGACATTTTCATCGAGCAGTCTTTCTCTATAAACCAGGAGTATCTTGGACTTAATGCAGAATGAGGCTTCATTTAGTGGAACGTTACGGTAGTTTTTCTTTCTCTAAATTTCGAGTAAAGTAGTTTAGATTAAATAAAACACTTATGTGATTATGGAAAGTTGCAATCTATCCAGGAGTATTCGAACATGGGGAAAGAAAGGGCGAATTACCCCGCTTTTTCAAGTAATAGAAATAATAATAATTAACGAGGAAGAAAGAAAAAAAAAGGAATTTTTAGGATAAATATATAACAAGATAACCAAATGTACCGCTTTAGAAGGGCCCATTTAGGCAATGTGTCTCGTACAGCATCTGACTTTTTTTATATCCTCGTCTTTTAGGCTACACGGGTTTTTTCCGGGCCAGGGGTCAAGGGCGGGGGATTCATGCAAAGTTAAAAACTCCCATCGGCAGCGGGATGCGAACTCGTAACTTTTTTATAACTCATAACTCCTGTTGTGTTATGCTGTGCTGAAGGTCACCCTGAAAAAAATTTGTAGGCGCCTTAACTCGTTCGACCACCGCAGCCCCTATGCATATCCACCTGAAAATTCGTTCCAAATGAGCATACATTCCCCCTGTTTTGCTCATTTATTCAAAAGTGTAACTGAATGAGTTCGCATGTCTCAGCCCGATTGGTGAGTTGTCGGTACTTCATGTTCGGTGCATGCTTAGTGTCCACATTCGAGAAATGGCAACTGAGATATATCAGCCTACTGCTCACTCTGTTGTTAGGCAATTGTTTTATGGGGACGCTAATGTGTCTCGAGCTCGTTGTCTATGGCTTTTTTGTAATTTTAAACAGGTACCTCAAACTAGAGTTAGAGTCTTCTGTAGGCTAGACGTTTTCTAGTCGTTTAGATTTGCTAGACGTTTGGCAAATATAGTTCTCCTAAATCAGGAGCCTCCAAACTTTTTTGCCCGTAGGCCACATTGAGACCTCAACCTAAGTCCTCCGGACCATGGTGATTAAAAAAAATCTTGTTCTATAAATGACACCTCAGTTGTTAAATGAGCTTTCTAAGAAAAAAACAACATATAATAAATGTTGTAGTAACCTCTTGTGTGAGTAATTTGCTGAATTTTACATTTTTTAAGAGTTTTAAAAATTTTACCAAGTAATCAAAGAAACTCTGGTTGAGCAGACAGGAAGTGCTCGCGGGCCTTAGTTTGGAGACTTCTGTTCTAAATGTCTTGTCTCACAATCGTAGCCCTAATATTTTTTAATATAAATTGAAAATCCTCAGGTTACATTATTATATATATATATATATATATATATATATATATATATATTGTAGTTATCGTCTGTTTCATATTTATTTGTTTTTTAGCAATTAAACATTGCATCTCTCTTAATATAACTTACATCTTATTAATATAATAAGCGGTGGTTTGTCGTTAATTACTGTATTAAGATCTCAACAAAAAATTTTTCTTCCACTGACATCATAATGGAGTTCATCATAAGGAATACAATAAGATGTAATTGTTCATATATGTGATACTGACAAACTAATTACGTTTTAGTCATATATAAGTACGGTTTATGAATAAAACTGGTGGGAAGGAAAAGGACAATACAAGATAATTGACTAAATAAATAACCTCTGGAATAAATTAAAACAGTATGTATAAATAATCATCTAATAATCAAGAAGGAAAGAATAGATAGTCTTATCAGCTATTGTTGCCGCTCGTCAAAAACAAATCCTTATACTCATGCTCTTTTAGAACTAGTACAACAATTATATTATATGTTCAATGTTATTTAATAGTTTTTGTTTTGTTTTTTAGTAAAATTAGATCACAGTTTTGCTCACAAGTGGATCTACGGGGGAGGGGAGGAGGGGGGAGAGGGGTCTTTCGGACTGAAGCCCCTCCCAAAACGTTAAAATATAACCATGTTTACAGAAAAAAATATTAAAAACTATCTCTTAAAGTATTCTTGTTCGTGTAATTACATTTAATAGGACTTCAAGGACCACTTAAACACCATTTCATATAGGTAGTTAATTTCTTTCTTTTTTTTCTAATTAATTATCGTTATATGTATATGAAAAAAAAATCTTTCGGGCTGAAGCCCCCTCCAAAAAAAATTAAATCCTGGATCCGCTAATGGTTTTGCTTGTTAGCTCAGGTCATATACTTTTAAACCTTATTTAATTTTTCTTAGAACTATTATGTACGGCATATTCTCAGAATGCAAGCAATATCGAATTTGAATATAAACAAAATTTATAAATTTCCAAAAGAAGGAATACTCCGATGGAGAGAATCTGAAGCAGCAATAGACACCAGTTTATTGAACAGCTATTCCATTGGGAATAAATTTTTTTTTTTTTTTAAAAGGAGTCATTCAAACTAAACTAAAACGTTTTACACCGATGGTTCAGAGCTCGACAAAAATATTGACTGCGCAGTAGTAACCACTAGCGGATCCAGGATTTAATTTTGGGGGGGCTTGAGCCCGAAACCTTTTTTTTCATAAAAATAACGATAATTACTTTGGAAAAACAGAAAGAAACTAACTACCTATATGAAATGGTGTTTAAGTTATTCCTTAAGTCACGGGCGGATCTACGGGGGAGGGGGAGGGGGGCTTTCGGGCTGAAGCCCCTCCAAAATGGAAAAATATAACCATGTTTTATGGGAAATTTTTTTTTAAAAATACCTCTTAAAGTATTATTGTTAATCTAATTACATCAAAAATCACTTAAGGGATCACTTAAACACCATTTCATATAGGTAGTTAGTTTCTTTCTGTTTTTCCAAAGTAATTATCGTTATTTTTATGAAAAAAAAAAGGTTTCGGGCTGAAGTCCCCCCCAAAATTAAATTCTGGATCCGCTAGTGCCTTAAGTAATATTCAATGTAATTACTCGAAGAATAATACTTTAAGCCGAGTAGTAACTAATCAAAATGAATTCTTATAAACATTGCCGGATATATGTTCGGTATTTAATGCGGAAGCTACAGCCTTCAAGGTAGCTCTACAACATATAAAGAAAATACACACATCTAGACAGGCGATAGTAACAGACTCATAGAACCCATATGGCTTGAAAAAGCATTAATGGAAAAACGCAATAATTGTAGATATTAAAAATATTCCGTGATAAATCCATACAAACAGCCAAACTGTCAATTTTCTTTTCTTTTTTATGGTTATTAGTTATTGCTGTAACTCTCTTAGCTTCAGTTTTGTGTCTTCTACTAGTTTTTTTGTGGTTGGTGACAGATAGGAAGGAGGGAAGGATACGTACGTTTGGAAATCGTCTATATAAATATGGTATTGAGACGGATAGATCAGCGGTTCAAGTACTTGAATATCTTCAGTGCTCGAACCACGCCCTGATGATGACCTACATGTTTGGATGAAACGTCGGCACTAATAAAAACCTGATAATGACAGCGTCCTGAATATTTATCACCCATGATATGTAGAACAGTCGACTAACTTCCTTCAATAATTCAATTATACTTTTACAGACAATTTTTTAAATTTTTTTTCATAAGATGTGGTTATATTTTACCATTTGAGGAGAGGGGGGCTTCAGCCCGAAAGCCCTCTTTTTTTTCAAAGCTATTGTCCTGTTCTTTTTTCGTAAAAGGCTTTTGTGAATGACAAATGGAAATGTCAACAATACAGTAGTGTTACCTTCTTGACCTACTAGCTCTGATAAATGGTGACAGTTACTTGGCGGTTTTATTTGTTATTGTGTTTTATCATGACATGGGTTTCAGACAGCTGTGGTTCAAGTTATAGTTTATATTAACTGATAATATAAATTCGGCAATGGTTATTATATGATGTACATCTCAAGTGTTGTTGGTGATGTAGATTTTGAAAGGAGGAAAAAACTATTATATATATAAAAAACTCAAATTGGTAATTAACAAAATTGAAATGCCGGATTGGTATGATACAGATGCTAGCAATTATGAAATATGCTCATTCCTGGGCCATAGCATGACTAATATAGCTACTGTCTATATTGCCAAACATATTCCATCTAGGACTTTGGTTACCCTTAAAAAATGTTATGTCGAAAAACTTACCAGAGAAGAAATCAAATTAGTTCAGGTATATTTAGGGAACTGTTACACCAATAGTTTATCTATCCCCTTATCTCATAGGCTTATACTTTACTTTTTAAAATATATTTTGTGGTTTTCATCAGTTAAATTTCCATTTAGTCTAAATAATAATTTCTAAATTATTTAAGGATGAAATAATACTTATGAGACAGCTCAATCACCGCAACATTCTACCTTGTTTAGCATCATTCGTTACCGGAAATGAAATTGTTTCTGTATTACCTTTAATGGGTTATGGATCATGTAATGACATTTTGATGAGACATTTTCCGACCGGTATACCTGAAGCAGCAATCGCTTGTATTCTAAAAGCTGTTATTCATGCTTTAAGTTACCTTCATAGTAAAGCAATTATTCACAGGTAATTTATTATTTCAGTTACTTTATGTTGTTTTTTTCTAATTACAACCATTTATGAATGTTTGTGTTTCTACCCATTGTTGGCAACATACATAAGATTTATGTTCGAAATTATTTAATGCAATTTTCAATGTAAGCATTCAATGGTTCTATAGCTTTCTCTATATTCATTTATATTATCAAAAGTCCTGTTTTCGCACTATTTTATTTTATAAAACTAATATTGTCTATTTACACTTAAGTTTATGTCTCACAGGTCAATATAATAATCAAAATTGACTTCTGATAATTACTTATTGTATGTTTGGGAGAATCTGCGTGTTCCCCTCCTCAGAAATCTAAAAAAAGTATATACCAATATATTTTAGCTTTAATGAAGAAACCAGTCATAAATAATTAAAATATACAACAAATAAAACAACTTTTCAAGTAAATATAAATTATTTTACAAAATTTGTTAAAAATGTAAGTTACTTACATTTATTTAAAAAAAATTGTATTTTTTATACTGTGAGGCATAAACTTACTTGTAAATATACATTATAAGGCAAAGCATTTAACAAATAATAATAAAAAAGTAAAAATTATGCCCATAATTTCGAATGGTCTAGTATTGAAAAATACAATAGAAGGTACCAAAAATCTTGGACTTAACATAATTAAAAACAGTTCAAAGAGCAGCACTCAATATGTGCAGGATAGTAAGAAAATTTTTACATAAATAAAATCTTCCGTCTGCATTCCCTTGAAGTTTTTTTTTTTGCAGGATGTAGATATTCTTGAATTATTATTTCTCTCAGGGGTTGTGCAAGTTGAGATGCTGTCAAGAAAGCTTTACTATGGCCTAGAAGAGTAAGAGCTTTTTTGCTGTTCTTCCTGCCATTTTGTTTCTTTTAATACCTATATGGTCAGGTGACCAAACAAAATGTCCCATCATTCCAAAACCATGAAGCATTTTTATAAGACTGTGCAACTCTGGATGGTCTGGATACATATTATTCGTGCCTTTTTGTTATGTTTATTACATACAAAATTAAATTGTATTTATGTCTTCATAACAGTTTACTTAGTCTGAATGGTTTAGTTGTTTGTGTCGAAAATGTAACCTAATCTGTCAAAACAAAAATGTGTTTTGCTATCTTCAGCATCCTTCGAACAGTTTGACCATGTGCCGATCATTAGGGGCGCTTGTCACGTGCCTGCGTCAGGGGTAATGGCCAATTTCAGGGGCGCTCGCCACTTGTTAAAAATTAAAAAGCTTGAGCTTGAGCATTAAAAGACTAATCTCTTTTATTGAGGGTTTGATGAATTTTGAACCAGCAAAATATATAATTTAAAATGTAACTACATACTTTCAAGGTTTTCGAAAGAGGATACTGCTATATTTGATTTTGAATTAAGTTGCCGGTTATTAAAATGTTACAGGGCAATCCGTGCCAGTCATATCCTTATTGCTGCTGATGGTCATATCTGTTTGTCAGGATTACGGTATTCGTGTTTGATCGTTGAAGGCGGGCGATGGCAGAGAAAAGTACATTCATTTCCTTCAACTACCGCAGCAAACCTGAACTGGTTGTCCCCAGAACTTCTTGAACAGGTAGCATTTTTTTAATAAATAATTTTATTTTTATTTTAAATGCTGATTGGAATTCTTAAATGATTCATTCATTGTAATATTAGTCTTATTTATTTATAATATTTTAAATTGTCATATAAATTATATTACCACCTCACTCAATACTCACTACTTTTCACAAATATTAAAAAAACTGCCTTGTTTCATTTCTGAAGATCTTCTTATAATGTATACCATATTTCAACCTCTAAACGTCTTGGAAACCTATGTTTGAAAAAACACGCTTACTATTCCATCAGATATGATGAAACTAATCCAGTTGACTACAAACCTCATTTTTGTCTTTTGGAAATCAAAATTGAGGTTGTAAAAATTAATGTATGGAGGATGAAATATTGAGGATTTGTTTATGCCACTTTTAATCAATTATGCCAACAAATTTGGTTAGCCTAATCCTTTTTTTTATGGATTAGGAATCATAATATTTTTAGAAAAGTTGCGTGCTCTTCTTTATGCTGTAATATCTAGTTATTTGGTAAGAATCAACTTTGTTGTATGTATAATTAATGTATATAATCACTAGAAATTCTGTAAATTAGAATTAAAGTATAACTGTAATTAAATATAATCCTGATTGTTTCATACAATTAAAAAAGTAAAATTAATTATTATTTTTTTAAATGTAAGAATGTATTAAACCTGAATGTGAGTACTTGCTCATAAATGTTATTTTTTTATTTTGAAATAATTTAATGTTTATTCTATCATGTAATGTTATAATAATTTAATTTGTTTACAGAACCTGGAGGGATATAATGAAAAGTCTGATGTTTATAGTTTAGGAGTTACTGCCTGCGAATTGGCGAATGGAATAGTTCCATATTTTGACACACCAACAACCCTCATGTTGGCAGAAAAGGTGCGTGGAAATTGTCCACATTTGATTGACCAAACTACTTATATTTGTGGAGGTAATTGTTTTGGTAGAACTATACTTAGAGAAATATAATTTTTTTTAGTATTATTTTAGATATTTAAACTGTATTTTATTGGCGAATTTATGTGACAGGAATACTTTTCATCACACCTACTCATCACTAAGGAATTTTTATTTAGGGTATCATTCCAACAACAACAAATCATAGATCTTGAGTTATAGATAATTATGTAGCTAACACAATATTATAGAGGAAGATGAGATTGCATTGGCTACGGAGAAAATAAAATTGAGCAAAGCAGCAGGAAGGGATAATATTATGCCAGAATTCATAAAATATGGAGGGGAAGGAATGGTCAAGTTTCAAACTTTCAAAAAATCTGGTCACAAAAGAAAATTTTTAAATTTAAAAATTTATGGAGAGCTGATCTTTTATGTTTTATCAATTAAAAAACTTTATTTTGCATTGCTGTTTGAACTATACATAATATAAATAAACATTTTAGGACTTTTTTTTTTTCTAGATGAAGGTAGTGGAGATGATGAATGTTTGAGGGTAATGGCTGAAAGGAAATTTACTGATAGTTTTCATGATCTCGTTGAAAGTTGTCTAGAGAGAGACGTAACACATCGACCTACATCGTCACAACTCCTTTTGCATCCATTCTTGAAATCTTGCCATCACTCTTCATTGCCAGATCTCATCATTCCTGCTGCGCCTTTTACTGCATTTACTCTTCCAGATAATAAAGGTTTGTTATCTATCTATCTATTTTCTATATATATAAAAATGAATGTATGTCTGTCTGTTTGTGTTTCAGTTTGTTTGTCCTTTATGCATTACTAAACAATTCATCCAATTGCCATGAAACTTTAGGAAGTTGTTGCGTACACTCCCGCAAAGGTTTCTGGCATAGTACTTCTATCTTATGATAATTTTATATGTGTAAAAAAAATAAAAATGTAAATTTTTTTTTTTCAAAGCCGCAATTCTCCGAAAGTTCTTCACCGATTGCTTTGAAAATTTCACACAGCATTGCAATCGAATTCGGAAGTGCTTTTGAAAATTTTATTACCATCTGGCCTTTCGTTTCGAAATGGCGGCTGAAAAACATGTTGCTATAAACTGTAGCGCCAAAATGGCTTTAACGATTTTAACGAAACTTGGCTAAAGTCTTCCCCTTGAAACCCTTTTAATTTATGTGTATAACATACTGTCTCGAAAACAACCTGACAAAATATTACAATGGATTCAAAATTTTATTTGCCGATAACTAAAAAAAAACACAATTTTTGAATTAGGATACCCATATTTATTTGAAAGATTCCCGAATTCCCTACAGCATAAAATAAAAATGTTCTCAAAATAGATAAGCATTATCTCCGAAATGTAATGATTCATAGTGGCCGTATGAGTAAAGTGGGTTAAAATATTTTTTTAAGGAGAAACGGAAAAGTTGAGATTTGTATTTCACTCCTCGATAAACACTGAAATACATATTTTCACTGGAATTAAAAAAATAAATTTTTTTTTGTCTCAAATTTTCGTCAAGGGTAAGACCTTCAATTTTATTTCGGAAACCACAAAAAGTGTGATAACTTAATAATTGATCCACCTATAAACACGAAAATAAGCAGAGATTTAGGGCCACATAAACTGCACAAATTGCAACAAACCATTCCCGTAAGCATTAGAACTGGAGATAAAAAATGAAACATTAGGAGATTTTCTTTATTTATTTCTTATGAAGGCGTTAAATCTAAAAGTTGTTGATATAGTTTTGAAGAGCAACAACTCAGCTTTCCAATGGTTATTGAATCATTGAATTAGGAGAAAATCCTGAGGAGTTATGAATTATTTAGCTAACAGTAGGGAAAAAGATTTCAATAGACAGTGCATTGGTAACCATATAAATATTTAAAAAATCATCGAAATTGGACTATTCATGGAAAAGTTATTGAGTTTTAAATATTTACTACTTTCTCTCAGAAAAGGCCATTTCTTTTTTTTCTTTTTTTGTTATTGATTAATCAAAAATTTTATAATTTCTACAGTAATTGAAATTATCATATGAAGAAGTGATATGATTCTCCTTATGTAGGTCAATACTAGTATACGCTCTTTACATTCATTTTTTATTTTCCTCCCAATGTATTCTGGAAGTAGTATGATCTCAAATAGTTGATTTGCTATTATTTAAAAGTATTTAACTCTTGAGTAATAATTATCACCGTTTATGTGTCCCTTTTAGAAATCATTTTTTTATTGATTTCAGTTTATTTTATTTTATAATAAATTATTTTCTCTAACATTACGTTGGAATAAGGTTGTGCCGTTTACCGTAGGGTTTCTTTCATGAGTAAGGTTTATTTTTCCACTACAATTTTTATAACTCTATATATAATCAATTTGTTATTAAAAAGAAGGTAGCAATCAACTATCTTAGGGGAGATATGCGAAATCTTTTGATGAAGGTGGAAGGCAGCTCTAATGCACACGCAATGAATGCTATGTTAAATGGTATAACACAATTTCAATGCTTTTCCACGATTGATATTTGAAAATCTTTAACTTTGAAACAGTATCATAAAATATTTTTAACCGCATGTGTTTGCTTTCACATCCAACTGATGGTGCGTTTTTAATAAATATGTATAGTTTCAGCTTATATTTTATAATAGTAGATATATTAAATCACGCTTGTATTTAAATGCATCGTTAAACCAAAATTTCAAGGCAGTAGGTGAAGAACTTTTACAACATTTATATTTTTACTTGCCATAAAATGATCAACACAAAGTTGAAGATTAAATATGAAAATATATGAGTAGCTACATATCAAAGACGGATCTCTGTCATTTTCAGAAAGAGGAGATAAAGTCAATTTTAGTTTTATAAGTTCAACTCAGACTGTTTCTGATGATTAAGAATGATGGCGTATTAACTCTGATGATTAAGAATGTTCAAGTTGAATCATGAAAAAACGTCATTAGAATTAGTTTAAATTAAAGCCATTTTACAGACAAATTTGTTTTACAACTTTTTAAAAATGACAGATGTCCTTTATTAATCCACTCATATGTGCTTTCTATTTTCTCTCTTTTCCACTTTGCCAGACTGAACCACTGCAGCACATGGCCGGGTAAAGCTAGTGTTATTATAAAATATTGATTTAGTTGTACAGTAGTATCAACTTGATCAGTGTGTACTTTTATTTATTTATTTGAATAACTGTGAACATGATTTTTGGAGAACTATCATTTTTCTTGATATTATCTTTATTATCAGTTCAGTTATTTTTCATTGTTTTCTGTGAGGTTTGACTAGTATTGGCTTTTGTTTTGACTTGAAAGAGGCTGTTAGTTTGAAATCCTGAGTCAAATAGTGTTCAGTTGTCCAAGTTTTACATTAATGTTTGATATCAAGTCTAAAACATTTTTTATTAATTATTATTTATCTATTTTTAGAGGATTTGGAATCGATCATGGCCAGTGAGAGAATGGCATGGCTTGAGCTGGAACCTGTCAGCTGGGATTTTTAAGAAGGTTATTGTTTCATCAAACATTGATAACACATCAAAGATTCATATCTTTACAATAGTTATTGAAAATTATTGTTACTATTGTAATTTTGTATAAATCCACTGTATTAAATATTTTTATTACACAAGTTTTATTTTTGTTTCTGTAAATTATAAATATATTTCGGTGATAAATAACATATGGAATTCATCGGATAATTTAAAATTGTAATTCTGTTGTATTACAATAAAATTAACAGCAGTTTATTGTTATTATATAAGATATTTATTTCTATTTCTGATCATTTGTTGTGATTCTGTTAAATGAGAAGAAGGTATTAAAACAAGATATCTAAATGAAATAAGTGCTTTATCATCATTACTGAAAAATGAAATTCACAGGTTTTAGACTTGAGGCCAGAGGTCTCCAACCTAAAGCTAGCAAGACTGTGCCCAGCCATGTCTAGCATAACCTTTATTGGTGATCACCCAGGCAACAGTTTTACTATTGCCTGCTGCAGATCGACAAGTTTTCAATAAAATAACAATACTTATTTTACTAAATGTATAATAATTGATTGCAAGTTTGAGTGATAACTTTGAAAATAGTGATTTATTTATATCATAACAATTAATGATGTGTGTGTTTTTTTTTTTTCAATTATTATTATTGTTTTATGTGGCTTATTGCAGATAGAAGAATTTTCAGTAAAATGTTTTACAATTTTTTCTTAAATTAATATATACATATATATATATATATTTTACAATGTAATTTTTTATAATTCGACCTTTATATATTATAACTTAAGATATGAATTATAGTCGGATAATAGGTCATGAAATTATAATAATAGGTCTTGTGACTCCATTTTCCTTTCAACATGCCTCCTAAGAAGGGCACGAAAGGAGGCTCATCGAAGCAACCTGTTAAAAACCCCAAAAAGAAGGAAGGAGGATCTGGAGGCAAAGCTAAGAAGAAGAAGTGGTCGAAAGGAAAAGTTCATGACAAGTTAGACAACCAAGTCTTGTTCGATATTGTCACCTACGAGAAGCTTCTGAAGGAAGTCCCAGCATACAGATTGATCACACCTTCTATTGTCAGTGAAAAGCATAAAGTTCGTGAATCACTTGCAAGGAAAGTCCTTACTGAGCTGTTCAATAAAGGTTTGATCAAGCAGGTCGTGAAGCACCATTCGCTAGTAATTTATACCCGTGCAACCAAAGCAGATGACCCAACATAATCTGTTTATACTGTTTGATAATAAAAATATAAACTTTCGTTTTTAAAAATTTCATGATCTATTATCCGACTATAATTCATATCTTAAGTTTTATATATATATAAAACTCATAGAAATGTTAGTGAACTACTTGAAAATAATAATTCATTTATAGGTGTAATAACATCACTGTTTTGTTTAATCTCTTTTTTCAGTAAATAAAAAAAAAAGAATAACACTTGGTTACACTGCTAGTTTTGGAAGTAATAAAAATATTTGTTTAGAAATGTATTTATTTCTTTTTATTGCCCTTACATATCCAGTAATAAACAGTGACCTAGTTGCAATTTACATTCACTATTTGTACAATTAAAAAAAAATTTGATGCCTGTCACCAGACTAGTAACTTATAAATGTGCCTTTTGGTGAAAGGTTGGACCCCTGCTTTAGGCTATTTACTCCTTCATTGTTAAAAAAGTAAATAGAGTATTCCATTCCATTGGCTTAATTCTTTAGATGCGCAAAGCCAATATAATGGCGCGGCCCGGCCGTGACACCAGTGTGCAATGCCAATATAGTGGCGCCAGAAAGAACCATGCCCCTAGTGCGCAGAACCAATATATTGGCTTCAGCTTTTTATAGTATAGTTGCGCAAAACTAAAGGTTCGTTACAGAGCTCTCTATCGGGTACCTCATGAATCATAGGTTATTTCTTGAACCACTAGATAGTGTGAGATGTATTATTTAGTCTTGAATATCCTTTAGGATGAGCGGTCTGACCCCTCAACCCTTCATATACCTGCTTCCACCTCTTTTTCACCGTTTCTAGTTTTTTGAACACAATTTAGCTCTAAAACAACAGAAGTTGATAGTGTTTTGAATTGTAAAAGTTAAAAATGAGTTTTAAAATTTTACTAAATTTATTTTAAAGTATAATTTTTTTTTTAAATTGATGTATATGTAATAAAATTTATCATACAATGAAACTTTTTTATATTTTACCATATCGAATGTTATTAGAAATTGGTTAACAATAAAAAAGGTTAATAAAAAAATTCAAATGAAGAATAAAAAAATAATGACACCAAACAAAAATTAGAATATATCGAAAAATAATGTTAATGTTACAGTATAATGTAAGAAAATTAATAAATGATAAAATTAAAAGAAAGTTTAATATTAAAATAGTGTAAGACAATTAAATTATAAAATTAATTAAGAAATAAAAAAAAATATTTAACTATTTATTGAAACTTGAACTATTATCATATTAAAGAAAAATGTATAAGTAAGTTTTAAAAAAAAAAGCATATGTTAATGTGAAAAATGCAAAATGACGGGAGCAATTCAGTGAATAAATCCTGCGCAAACGGGGTTGGCTAGACCTTCAGTACCCCAGTACCTTCAGTGCTCGTGCACACGGTACGTGACCTTGATTCTTGATTCAAGCTCCGCGCCACGAAAGGGTTAAGCTTCACACATAATATGATGACCTCATGGCAAATTAAATGCTTAGTAAAAACAAAAGCAATAAATTGTTGCATGTAAATAACAATTTGGTTATAATGAATTGTAATGCACCAAAATCTTATAAAGGAAGGTTATAGACATGGAATCACCAATTTCAATAAAACTTTTTTTTGTGATACTAGGTCAAAAAATGTAAGGCCCATGTGTGAGGGGCCTTTCTTAAGGCCCATGTGGCTGAGAAAATATATATTATATAACTTTAACATTTTCTTATAATATTGTTCTCTTTGCCCTGCATAGATTTCTAGTTAGTAATATAACAATTGATTTGTTGTTTTTTTGTAGAAAAAGGAAAAAATGTTGCTGATTATATTAAATGAATTCAAATGTATTAGAAATTACAAAAAAAAAAACAATCGCTGGGAAGTAGGCTAAGTAAATAAATTCCTGCTTAGTTTCACGTAGAAAGGTGGTCAAGTAAAGTTCCCACAATTTTTGTGATTTATGAAAAAAAAAAGAAAAATGTTCCTACCTAGGCAAACATTTTGAACAAAAAATTCTTTTTATTTTAATCCTATAAAAATGAGTTTTTAAGGGTTTTTGGAGGTGTGAAATAGATATTAAATTGTATTTTTCCTTAAAAAATATTTGATACCATTTTATAATTTTGGTCATTACAAATTGTCTTGATATTGTTCTCATACTATATCTATTAAAAATGAAAAAAGTTTTGCTCAATTTTACGCTGTTTATAGTATCTATTACTATTCTTTTGTTTTTCTAATCTCTATTGTAACTATCACTGTTGGAGTGTAATACTCATTCTAATCAGGAATCAATCAAGTCAAATCAGGGCCTTGAGTGCTAAAATTTTGTGGGGAACTTCAAGAAAGATAAATTAAATTACAGTTAGAATTAAATTACAGGCAAAATAGTTTTGTCACTATTTAGCCTATTTATGACCGCCACCCCGGACTATCTCTTTCCTTTATAATGCAACGGTCAACTATTAAATATTCAATAAATTACAGTTACTTTGATCCCATCAATTTAACATTTTGTTTTTAGAATTATCTGATCATTTTATGTTTTTTTGTCATTCATTTTTTGAGCCTTCGTGGTAATTTCCAAAATATTTAATTTATGATGTTTAAAATTCTTAAGTCATCTATTCGGGATTCTATGAGCCCACTTACCGCTTAATTCACCTCTGATTCTTATACTTCGTTTCTTCAATTCAATTGTCAAACAGACTTTATAAAGAAAGCAAGCTACTAGATCTGAATGTAGAGAAGAGTTTAAATTTTTTTTAAATATAATTTTCTAACATCATAAACATATTTTATAACATTGTTTTAATTTTTATTGTCATGATCTGAATATATTTTATCATCAAAACCATGCATGTATGTTTTATTTGTTGAACCTATTTTTTCAATGGTCATCTAGTGTGATCATGATACAATCAACATTAAAGATTTGAGATCACAATTACAATGTGTTTGAAGTTGTATATTTATTTAATTTTTAATTTTTCAAATTTCATCAAATAATTGAATCAGTTCTGCATTCATTCTTAGAAGATGATTGATCCTCCAAATTTGCCTAATTGTCAACTCGACAGTATTTTTGGAAGAAATATGCATTGTGATCCTACTCCATGATTTATTACCTTTACAAACCGATACCTACTGCTGCCTGGGAACAATGATTGGCAAGGATGGAAGAATAGACTAGGAGGTCATGAATAGAGTCTAAGAGGCCAATGGAATATACTACCAAATATCCATGATATTCAATAGAAAGCAGGAGTTGAGCAGAAAAAGCGAAGATTCTGCTATTCAAATCAGTTTTTATCCCAGTGCTACTTCAAGGATCAGAAAGCTGGACACTCTTGGGCCGCCATGCCAGCAAGGTTGTATCTGCAGAAATGAGATTCCTATGGAAAATATTAGAAAAAAAAACAGGTGAAATAGAATAAGGAATGAAAGGATGCGAGATGAACTAGGAGTTAGATCCGTCCTAGAGACAATTGAGGAAAAACAGTTGAGGTGGTTTGGGCATATTAACTAGACAAGATGGTCAGAGGCAGCTACTCCACGCTTAAAAGCACATAGAAGATAGTGAGAGAAGAAGAAAATATACTGGCTATAACAAAAAAAGTATCAATTTTCTAAGATTAATAAGTTGATAGTTTTTCTGAAAAAGAATATCAAAAATGAGAATAGAATGAATGACAATCAATATCTTAAGAATTATTTTAAACCTAAATTTTTTTAAAATTTATTATTAAAAAGATTTACAACTATGAAATTCGAGAAAAATAAATGGAAAATTAAATTAATAATAACTAAAACTTATAAAAATAATTAAATTTAAACTTAAACTTATTTCTAAGATATAAAAAAATAATAATCATACCAATATTTCTCAGGTATTATGTTTAAAAATAGTCTGTTTTATGTGGTGTGACCAGTGAAGCAGCATTACTTATAAGTATTTTTAATTTTTTTTTTTAAATATCAATTTTCGATATTCAACTTTTTATATTGATATGAAAAATATTTTATTTTTTTAATTTATAGTATATTGATATTTTTCAGCTAAAAATAAAAGGCTTGCAGGCATGTCTTTTAAATACCTGTTCTGTTAGTTTAAACCTTATCAAAAATAAGATCTTGTAATTAAATGTTTACTCTATTTTTTTTTTTTATGTGGGTCCCATGACCTTACTTTCTTACAAGTTGAAATCAGATATCATAAAGTGTTTAAACTTTCTAAATTCAATGTATAAACGTTGCTAATATAGACTCCTTTAATTTGAATAGCTTTGCTGTTTCTACCTATACTTTTCTGTATGACTTTTTGGAATTAAATTTGCAGAACATCGTGATTAAATTATCAAGATTGAGTGATGGTCTTGTGGAATTTAACATTAGTTTCCTTAATAATAAAATATGTATAAAATTAAAAAAATAAATTTAATAATGTGTTATATCTTATATGTTGAATCAATTTTCTTAACTCATAATTTTTCTCTTAAAAACCAATGAAATAGACGTAATTAGCAACACTTGTAATTTCGTAAGATATTTTCAAAATTTACTTTAAAACAACATAGATGAGCCAAAGTGTCAAATGTTAAATAAACTCTAAATAATTGTTTATCATTATTGAATTTATTTTGTTATCTTTAAGAATTATGAAAGAATGTGTTTCTAATCTAAATAAAGTATAGTAAATTTTTCACTATTTTGTTTTATTGAAATTGATTCTGAAATCATGAATAAATAACAATTTTGTTCTCCAGAATCCTCTTTCATAATATTTTTACATGATGTCGAACATGCTAATAAATGAATACAATTTTCCTATATTCAGTAAAGTAGGCTTTCTGAAGTAAATGTTTAACTTGGTAGTGGCATGACATATTGTATTTATTTATTGGGTGGAAAGATTTATGTTTCATTTTGGTTTCTCTTTCCTATTTATGTCCTGAAGATGTTGCCATAATGTTTTATTTTAGCCATTTATAAAAAAAAAAGATTGATCTGAAAATAATTTTTAAATGGTGGATTTTATTTACTTAATGTTTGTATGTAATGAGTTTGTTTCACCTAGTATTTAAGCCCAATAAGTAAAAAGTGGAATGGCTTTATACAGTCTTCGTCTTGTACACTGATTACGATTTTTGTTTAATTTGGTAAGTCCTTATATCGTTTTATAAATAATTTTAATAATTTGGTGCATGACATTCAATTATTCTTATTGAAGTGGACGTCACACAGCCAATTTCGATAGCCATACCCCCTCCCTTTGATTTTAAAGGCAGTTGTCAACGCCCCCTTCCCTCAGTTAACAGATGGTGTTCGCGTTGTAATGTCAATGGTTGAACTTCTTTGTTCCTTCGTCATGTAAATAGTGTCATTTGTAAAGACAACCTTTGTGTTAACTAAGTTTTATAACCGCGTCTTGAAAATAGTTGTGCCACATTCTCTGTTATGTCGTGTGAAGATAAATTCAATGCCGCTGTTAGCGTCATTAGAAATCTTCCTAAAAATGGTGAGGTGATATCTGTCAATTATACTAATTTGAAAATTTGTTTTTTTTATTTAGTTATTTCGTATCTTAACAACATATTTCAGGTTTATAAGTAGTGTTTGTAAAATATATAAAAGTTCATCTAAAATTGGATATAAAATACTTTTACCTGTTTCAAAATAAAATTTTTATATTACTCATTCATACTTGCATGTCTATATGTGTAATCATAAACACAGATACATATCTGTCAATTTGTATGTATTGTGTGAAAGGATAAGTACTTTTGATGGTCAATTGGTTATCGTTATTATTTTTATGAGTAGTTATTTCAGGTTTATTTATATTTTATGATTAATATTACTTGGGAGAACTACTATTCTTTCATGGTATTATGAAATTCCAATTAATTTTATTTACAATGTTAATTACAAAAATAATTGCTGTGAAATGAGTTAAATATCTTTTCATTGACCGATTTGCATGGTTGATTTTAATATTAGTATTGTTATGTTAATTATTTTCATCAAACACCAAATCGGTAATTAATTATTTTTTATTTTAATAACTAACATTTTAAAAGCTAAATATGCCAAGTGCCAATTGAGCATTTTGATTTTTTTAATATTAAAAAAATTCAAATTCAAAAGAATTATGAATGAACTGATATTTCAAAAAAGTTATTCATCTTCAAGTTTTGAGATTTTCTTAATATTTATTTATATATTTTTCAAATTTAAACAATGAGTATATTAGGTCTAATTGCATTTTTCTGTTCTAATCGCTTATGCTTCATTAAATGTCGAAGAATCATAGTTAAATAGAACAGAGAAAGTTCTTTTAATATTTAAGTTGAATACTTTTGTATGATTTTGATTTAATAGTTTTCGATTTTTTTTTATCCTGTGTATTATCTGGTATACTTAAGCTTTTGAGGAAAAAAAATCACTTATCAGCTTCTTCATGTCTGACTGTGGTGGCTTTTACTGATAGATTTTATTGCTTAGGTTCAATTCTGTGGTGAATGTCTCCTGACTGTGGTTTGACCTGAAGTTTAAGGATAATTGAGTAGTCTATCTTGTGTGTTATAATAATCTGAAAATTTCTTGTTACAGAATGGTATTTAAATGTATATTCATTCTCTAACGATCTTGACTAAAATTTATTGTAATTATTTCCTTAATGCTTTTAAAAGATGCATCAACCATTCACACAGGATTTTATCCTGACATACTACATACCAATTCCTCCATAAAAACTGAGCCCAAAAAATCAGTCATAAATTTTGTTTTAAATTTGGTACTAACTTTCTTAAGTTCATGTAATAAAATTTAGATCTATCGAAAATTGAAAAATCATTAAATTAATTCCAAAAATAGGTGGGCTTAGAAAATTTGTATTTAAAATATCTCTTCATAAATAATTGTTTAGTAATCGTTTAACGAAAAATATCACGATTTTAGTAAGAACGCAATGTCAAGTAAACAAAATCTGGAATTATCTATTGTTTTCACTTTAAGTTGAAATCGTTTACAATTTTAAAGTTTAATTAAACAAAAAAAGTCGGCCCGTGTCACGCAGCTTGTGACAAAACATTACCTTTTAAGAAATGTATTTAAAATTTTTGGAACAAATATTTTTTTCTAACAATTCCTATAATCATTCCAAATATTTCCGTTAACTATTCAAATTTTTATTTCTGATATTTTGATTTTCCTAATTTATTAAAAAATTTCTTTAAATTGTATTTAGCATTTTGGGAAAATATTTTTTAATTTATTGTTACGATAGAACTCTGAAACTGATTTTTTAAATTTTAGCGAATTGCAACAAGTATGAACGAATTATGTCATCCAAATTTTATTGTTGTTTTTTTTTTTAAATATTAAGTTTGGTCCTAAGCTTTAGCGGATTCAATAAGGGTCTCCCAAAATTAAGTCCTGAATTCGCTACTGGTCTTGAGATATCAGCAGAAAAAAATAATAGCAATAAAAAAAACTTTTATGTTTTTCTAATTACATCGCAGAAATTCGTTAGTCGATTGAATACAAGCACCGATGGACAGCAATTTTTGCTGAGTTAAGGAACGACCTGCTGGATTCTAGTAGAAAATTGTCACTTCTGAAATATTACAAAACATATGAAAAATAAATATATATATATATATATATATATAAGGAAATATTTACTTATTGATTTTTTTATTTCCAAACAGAAATAAAGATAGATAGGAAGTAAACTGAATATAAATATGTAAAGTAAATTTAAAAGTAACAACACTGAGGTTATAATGAGGTCACATACAGTGGATCCATCGACCTCAAAAACCGAAGGAACCGCGATAATATATTCCATGAATAACACGCCGAATTCCATATACGGATCCATCGTTGAGTTCAGGACCGGCCTAATGGATGCCCGACGCTCAACAATGAGCTCAGCGCTGAGTTAAAGGAACATGTCCATGCTAATATGCTGCGACTCCTAGGAACGGAGCAATAATCATAAGCTTTATAGTAGATAGCCCCCAGTATTTACTCCTTTGTGTGAGGCAATGAGAAGGAATACATAGGAATGTGAGTTTGCGCTGTGAATTGTACTCAATTGTGCAGTGGATAAATTATTCATTTATGAAGAAGGAAGAAGGTTGGAGGTACCGAAAGGACCGAGCAGGTAGGAACTGCTGGAGAGAAGAGAACTCACTTGAGGCGGTGGCATGAAGAGGAAAGGACTTTCGTTACCCGAGAGGAGAAGCCTTGTACACTGAAGATTAAGAATATCAAGCCTACAGTTATAAGGCTTTAATAGATTCATTTATTATAGTTGCCAAAGTAAATTATTTTATTATACAGGAGTGAAAAGTCATTTGATTTAGTTGTCCTATATGCATCACAATTGAAGAATAACAAACCAGATGCGTCAATTCATTCAAAGTGTATTTACTCAGTCCCATATTTCATATTCTTATTGTTTCTTGTCACTCAGTGTCACAATAAGGTATTAGATTCCCGAATTCCCAACGACAGTTAAACACCCTCAAAAATTCTATATCCAGTGTCGGGGTTTTGTTTCAATATTCACGAGTGTAAATAACCAAGTCCTCCGATAATATTTACTATTTCCGTCAAAGAGGAATATTCACATTTAACTCTTAACAGGTTATTTACAGCTTCCAGTGAATTTGAAAAAAACAAACTGAAGGCAGTTGCGGTAGCACAGCTTCACATTGCCGTAACTATAAATAATATTAAGGGACTTTTAAGAAAATTGAAGTCTACGAAGAGAAGAAAGTTTTAACCTCAGATCCGCCCGCCCACACTCCCTGGCCCGGGAAAATCCCGTATAGCCTTAACGGCGAGGAAGGGAAGGACAAAAAAAAAAAAAAAAAAAAAAAAAAAAAAAAAAAAAACCTCAGATCTAGATCATGGATGTCCAGAAAGGGGTTTCATGGAGCAAGCTACGCCGAGAATATTTTTGAGGGAGTCATATTTTGACGTATTTTTGAATTTTTGAGGTGGGCATATTTTGACGGGTTTTTGAATTTTCGGAATAAGGGACAAGGGGGAAACATAGAACAGACCGTAGCAACTGTAGTTGTATATAATCTACGATTTTTCTAATTCTATCTTAGCTTCTGTTTTTAAGAAAGGTGAGCAATAAAATATCTTGGGTGGAGGGGGGCAAGTAGGTTCTCTTGCCATCGACCTTGGGGGGATGGGCACCCCTGCCTCAGATAACTGAATTTACAGTTTACATAAAAAACTAGTTTTTACTTGTAAGGAATAACTAGAAATATTGTTTACGCTTAAGTACTGTCAGTTCCCTTTAAATATATCCGTTAAACTGTGTGTTAGTGAAATTATATTTTTAGTACAAAACCGTAATAGTCATTATGGCCAAGCGTGTTAAAGCATAAAGTTTAACATTGTTGAATCTAGTCGGTCCGAATCCGTCCTAAGTGAGTTTTGAAATTTATTTCGTGGTGGACACTCGGAATGAATCTCGACAACTCCACTCTGGTTTGAATAGGTTTGATTTTACCGCTAGAACAACCTCCATAAATGGCGAGGTAGAAGGCAATCGAAAAAAAAAGTGGAAAGTCAATATTGAAAGACGTTTTCTTTAGTTTAAAAAATAATGATCCTCCCTTTGTTTTTCCCAATAAGCTACTGGTGCACTTTTGATCATGTACCAATCATGTACATGAAACAGGCATATATAATCCAAATTCAATCTGTAAAAAACTGCGACGGATAGCTAGTAATTAAATGAAAATTCAATTATAGTTGGTTCGTCATGACCTCTTGCGGTTATTAGCGAAACTTTCTAATTTCAAATAGAAACTTACCATGTAAGGTTTGTCAGTAGGAATAAAGGAGACTTTATGATGCTCTGGAAAAAAAAGGTATTGTTATTACTTAATGTTTAAATAATTAAAAAATAAAACAATAATAATTACAAAAAATATTTAAATCATTATTATGCTTCATAAAAATAGTTGTTTTGTATTAATCATATATAGTATTTGGCGTTCGGTGGGCACGTTACTTAAAAACGATTCTAATGATATGATTGAACCCGAACGAACGAATACAGAAAATTCCTCACCATATCCGTACCACAAAACTAAATAAACTTTGGCCTTCGATAAATAAACCAGCATATTTAAGTCATACTTTGGGCTCGTATCTAATAATACTTACTGTATTTTTAATTTTGTAAATCTACCAGCTAAGATTTTCAAGGGATTTTTACATTTGAGAGATTTCAGAGTACATAACTGGTAATAGCGGCTGTGCAGTTGTCGAAAAAATGTTTTAAAGTGAAAGTTGCGTCAAAACAGCTTCAACGATTATAATGATATTTGCTACTCTCTTACTTTAAGCCGTTTATTTTATTTAATACATACTCCAAAAATAGAGGAAAAAGTTAGTTTGAAAAATAATTTTAACTAGTTGGCTCCTGCGAAAAATCGCAGACAATTTTGTTTAGTGAAGAAATAGTAAAACAATATGGAAATA